GTCGGGTATCTCGCGGTGATGGAGGTGAATGCGCACTGGCACTGTCCCGAACCCGGTGTGGATTTGGGAGGTGGTATTCGTACATGCCTTCCATACCTTACAGCGTAAGGTACCTACCTGCCTGGTAGTGTAATAAGGTCCCTTGGTAGGTAGGTAGGTAGGCAGGCGGGTGCAGTTCCATTGGTGGTGACTCTTGGATTTGGAGACGACCTACGGGCTGGCTTTCCCCAGGCAGGACACTAAGGTACCTAGGAAAAGAGAGGGGCGAGAGATGCGCTAGTGCAATGTGGTTGGCTGGGATGGCACCGAGGGGCTCATGTCTGAAGTGAATGGAAGTGCTGCGGTGACCACCTCACTGTCCATTGACCATCGTACAGAGTGAGTACAGGCGGGCAGTCACTGCCTAGCCAGAATGGAACTGCGAACTGCTCCGGCGCAACCTTGCCTCGGCGGGGACGGCTGGGTTGCAGTACGCTTGCGGAGATAGCCTTCGCCGCGAGCCAGCCGAGACATCACTAACCGCGACCATGTCCAAGTGTCAGGTCTACGTAGCGCATCTCGGGTCGCACGCCGTCTCTGCTTAGCACTTCTTCGCCATCCATGCCCGCCCCCTTCGGGAACCACAAACTGCTCACATGTCACCAATCTAGGGCCCGTACCTGGACTGGACTGGACTGGACTGCGAGACAGACAGGCAGAGAGGCACCCGTAGCGACAACTCAGCTCAGCTCCGCGTTTGACACGAGGATTATTCAATCACCATGGAACGACTTGGAAAGAGGCGGTCAGCCAGATATCTGGCCGAGCGCTCTATCACACGTCCTCTACCTTGCCTTGGTAGCTGCCCATGGAAGCTGCCACAATATTGTTTCGCCTCTTGCCCAGGCACCTTGACTCACCCAGCCAAGGTGTAGCTTACTGTTTGGCTGATGCACGGCAACATTGCCTCGCAAATCGAATCCCCCCGATGTCGCCTCTTGTCGTCGCCCCGTTCAGGCAGGCAGTCAGACGACGACACAAACAGCTGCAACAAGGCCACCCGGAACCTCGAATCCTTCCCTATCTTTGCCTCCTGTTCCCTTTCCCACCCCTCGCCCTTCAGGATTCGCACCTACACGCCCCCCGGTTGGGCTGTCTTCTGCCCATTACCACCTACCCCGGCTGCTCTGAGCAAAGACGCCATACCCAGTTCCCATTGGCACATGACCGGGGGCTGCCCTGCAAACACAAGACTCGGAATGAGGCGAACTGGAGCCTCGCCGCAAATGTTCCTATGTTTACTCACTGCAGCAATGCAAAATCCAGGAAATGGCGTTCGTTCGCCGGATTCTGCGGCTTGGTTGGAAGAGCCTCCTTGGCTCCTTAATCTTCCATCGACTTTTCTCTTTCCTCTCACACAATGGCATCCAGCGTTCAGACGTGCCATGTCACCATGCTGGCTCGTCCGCGACATTCTGCCGGCCCCGTTGATACGGTGCTTTTATGCAACCCATCGCGGCCCCCGAAGAGGCAGCTTGCTGCATAATTGCATGAGCAAGTCGGTCAGTCGGTCACTCGCCTCAGCGATAACACAATACAGCTGCCCCCGACTCTCCGAATTCGCCCATGGATGCCCAGTGCTGTGCCTCCTCAGCAGACGCGCTGTCTCGCGCTGTCTCGCAATCCTCTCCAATGCAACTATGCAGACCATGTCGGGGCTACCTGCACTCGAAAGACCGAGATGAACATTGCACTTGATGCGCTGGATACCACGATGCGCTCCGTAGAACGCCAACCTCATGCAGCTACCGCGGCCGCGACCACATCCGCATCCGATCTTAGCGAGCCCGGCGAGCTGGACGGTCTCGATCGGAGCACGTCGTTGGAGGGGCGGGTCGTCGATACTCCAAGACTCGGTACAGTCTGTTCGCCTATCACCTGAGCAGCCTCATTACTCGACGCTGCATTGAACATCCACCCGTTGATACGATACAGTCACGCAGCACGCAACTTGCTGCAGCAGCATCAGCAGCACGCAATCCTACCGTCTCCATGGGCTTATCGGAGCCAGTGGAGGGTAGGAGAAATGATGTGCAACTAACCAACCTGGAAGGACGGAAAAGAACCGCCGGGCCCAGTGTCTTGACTCGCTCACGTGGCCCTTTCATCCGTCACAGATCGAGAAACCATCTCTGAACTCAATGGCAAGACAGCCAAACAGCTGCCAGCGAGCCAAGCTCCTTCAGCTTCTTCATCTCAGCCAGCCAGCTGTTGCTGCCGTGCTCTTCCCTGCAACCCAGCACTGCCTTCATTGCCCTCTAACCTACCTCCTTACCCAAATTCGAGTAGCATGCAATGCGTCTCCCGGGCCACCAGGCAGTAGAGCGCCAGCCTCGCATTACACTTCCTCTGACAAGCGTCCGTGAGATTTACAAAACAGGGAGGCGCGCATACCGAACGGCCAGCCAACCAAGTCAGCAGTAAAAGCCGACGCGACAACTCATCACCAAGAGGCACGTTTGACGACGGCGACGACCAGCCAACAAGACAGCTCCGTCGGAGGCGGGGAGCTCTCGGTGAGCAAGCAATTAGCGTTCAGCGGTTGGCTGGTTGGCTGAGATCGACAGATGGCGGGGATAAGCAGGACGACATCAAAGACGACTGCAGCACGTCCCCCAAAGGTCCGAGAGCGCGGCCTGCCATGCTTCGACATCGGCCTGCAGAACTGATAATGACTCCCAGGCAGTAAAGGTGCCTCGACTGAGGTCTGTTGTTCAAACGCTCACGCTGCGCGCTATCCGATTAGCCCACGCTGCTAGTCATGCGAACTCAACCCCCGCCTTTTTCCCTTTCCATCAGAGTTCATCCACGACGGCGTCCCGCCAAGAAAGTGTCTCCTGAAATCGCTGCATTTCGAGACACCTCTGGTCCAGCTTGAACATTAAAAGTGTAATCGACTTTGAATTCAACACGTCAAGATGCGCCGCCTCCGGAGTCTCCTCAACAGGCAAGCCGGGCAGGAGACACCCCTCTCCGGACCCGAGGCTCTTGAACCCCAATTCGGACCCCTCTCTCCCTCCCACCTCCCTCTCGCCGTCGCCGCCTACATGTAGGGCCCGGATACTTTCCTCCACCCCTTTACCCCGCCGTCGCAAGCCAGCCTCATCCAATGTTCCTAGGCCGAGATACGTCAGGCAAGGCACGGACAAAGTAAACCTTCCGCTTTGAAATCATCCCATGAATCAAATAGAAAGGCAAGGCAATAGGCAAGCTTACTGCCACGGTACCTCCTTTTCTGTGGCGGGACACACAATCGAATCTTGGCCCGTTGCGGAAAGTAAGCTTCTCGCCCCTCTCTCTCACTCTCTCATTCTCACACACGCCCCCCTCCTTTCTTCCGTCTCAACAAAGGGAAGTGGTGGACAAATAAAAGTCGTTCCAGGCTTTCCCGAACCTACGTCATGCCATTGTCTCGTCCCTCACTCCGCCCCTCCTCGCAAGCCCCCACGGTCAAACCAAAGGAAGTCTCCCATTCTGAACAAGACTTTTTCGTACAAAAAACCAACCCGTCGAAAACGACGGCCTTGTTTCAGAAGTTTCCAAGACTCGGGCGAATAAGAGGGGTCGAATGGGAAGGGGAAGGGTAACGGAGCCGCCGCCGCGATGAGCCGCAAACGTAACAGCTCGAACGCGTGGTTCCTCGTGCCTGGACTGGCATGCTGACACACCCAAGCATCAAGCTTCTAGTAAGGTAAGGTAGTGTACGTAGGCTATTCCAAAGAATATACACAGCCCAGAGAGAGCGAGCACAGCAAGGTAATTGTGGCGTGACTTACCCCCTCCACCTGTAATAGTATTACGCACCCGTCCATCTACCTGAGAACGGGGCCATCCATGGACATTAGAAGACCTCGATAATGCGGTTTTCAACCCGAAAACCCGGAAACCCGGATAGTCCCCCTTTTTTGCTTTGGTGTATGTGTACGTCATGCAATCCCCTGACGAGGTTTCTGTGTTTTTAAAATTGGTCCGAGGGCGCAAAGTGAAGCTGTCGACGGACGGAGATGTGATGGTGTTTGGGTGATTTCTCCCTTGCGACGGCGATCAAACTCCATGAGCTCTCGCCCACATCGAGAAGGCGGGCACGTCAACCACGCAGAGGAGAGTGAGTTACGGATTTCGACTGATATGGCCGTGTGTAGGTTTCTGGGTGGCTGAAATGGCTGCCTTGCTTTCCACCCAGCACACTCCTCCTTTTTTGCCCTGTGTGAGAGATGACTGGCGAGTGAATGAGCAAGAAGGGTTGGGAGACTTCTTGTGCTTCCACCGTTAGACGTGGCACTCAAGCTGTTATGTTTGGATACGTGGATGAGAAGAAACTGATCCAATTGTACTATGGCAATCCACCTCCAGTTGTTGTAAATGCGATTTTGGGTTGACAGGGTTAAGTGGCTAGGAAAACACGGCGTTGGAGGCGCCAATCCCACGAGAAGTCTAGCTCTCATTCTTCATTGCAGACCAACAGCATTTGCTACAATCACGAGCCCTCCAAACGACTCTAGATGGGTTCACGATTCTGGGACATAGAGCACTGGAGGCTTCAACTCCCATTCTCACTGGCGGTACATCTTACAGCACTTTTCATGATGCAGATCGCACTTATGTTGAATATCTCTTGAGCTAGATGTTTGCTACCTAAGTTGGCGTGGATCACCAGGTGTTCCATCACTCAGAGATGGGAATGCTCCCCCGATATTAAGAATAAACAGGTCCTTCGTAATCGAGGCCCAGGTATCATGATGTAAGAAAACCCCTGAACGAAAGCCGAAAACAGCCGCCCGATAACTCCATGCTTCTGTCTTTCTCTGCGTTCTTGCCTCCCTCTTGTATGTGCGTAATGCCTTCGCGGTCTGACCTTCTCATGGCTCGTAATGTTTTTGATGTACAGAATGGATTGACGTGGGCAGGATGATCCTGGCCCAATTCCTCTCTCCTCGTAAGTCGGTATACTGAATGATGGCTCACTGGCCATTTCGGTTCCTCTTGAATAAATGCTCATAAGGCTCGCCGGCAGCCTCAAGCGCTGCGGCTTTCAAAGAAAGATCGCGTGATTTCCGCATCCACTCAGTGGCCTTCAGCCAGTCTCCATTCCTCCGCACGTAGCTGGGAAGCTCCTCCACCGGTACGTCGCCGAAATCCATAGGTCTTCGGTGTGACCATGGCTGCGGCGGGTTGGGTGGTGGCTTCGGCGGGTCCTTACCCCGTCGCGCTGCCAGCGCCCTCGCGATTGCCTGCCCAGCTTCAGACCGCTCCTCGGCAAGTCTCTGCTGTTTCATCCGGTAGGCTGCCTTGCCAAAGTTAGCTTTGCGTCCGCCGCGAGCCTTGATCTCTTCCATCTTCTGCTCAAACCACTCGTCAGAGCGGTCGTGAGACCAGTGGATACGGGGATCGAATCTCATGTAGAACGGCCTGTGTGCTTCCTCTCCGGCTGAAGCGGAATTGGGGCGAGTAGGAGCGGGTGTGATGAAGACTTCCGGGGGAGGCGTATCCGCTTCAGGCTGTGTGTAGATCCAGGTGTCGAATTTGTGTTGGTCAACAGTACGGCAAAGCTCAACCCGCCGCTGCTCGCAGGTCAACTTCCTGGACTTTGGAGGCCTTGTGTGCCATCGCTCAGTGGAAACTGAGAAGACTTGTTGATGCTGGATGGCAAGGTTGGGGCGTCGCGCCATGAGCCCTGTGCTGTGATTCTGCCTGGCGTTGGTTGCCAGACCGTTGATTCCGGCATCTTCGCTTTCCTCACTAGGTTCTCGGATTGTCTCCCCAGGTCTGTTCATGACGAAAGGGTTATCGGAAGCAAACGTAGAAGGCCCACTGGGGTCTGGGACGAAGTTGTGAATGTTCGGAACACTACCATGCGCAACTGCGCCTGTCGAACGCCTCGTTCCATCTCGAGACTGCGGCGAAGGCCCTGTCTCTCTCTTAGTGGTAAAGGCAGCGGTCGTATCTTCGTCGGTGTCTTCTGAGTCCGAGTCTGATGTCGAAGTTGAAGCCGTGTCCGAGATGCTTGCTCTCTTGCGCTTAGCTGATGAAGTTGTAGGTTGCGGGAATGGGGGCGCGGTTTTGATACTCGTCGGAGGAGGCTGCAGCCCTGATCTCACGATTGGCAGGGAGCGGTAATCTATTCTGCCCGGGGATGCAGCAAATGGCGTGAGAGACTTTGTCAACTCTTTAGACTTGCTTCTTTGACGGCTGGCTTCTGGGCGGGGCTTGTTGACGCCATGGTTGGTCGTTGATTGCGACGAGGCTTGTGATGTTTGACGTGAGTTTTGTGAGGCTGCACGAGCGGGCGGGACAACCTTATCAGCTGCGGAGCTGGTTTTCGGAGCTTTGCGTTGATCCTGGCCATTTGTCGTAGTTGACTTGGCAGACTGCCCTCCGTTCTGCACTACCTTGCCCGGCGGGAATTTGTCGGGGCTCCTCGAGGTTGGTGGCATAAATCTAGACCTGGTATGTTCTTGAAAGCGAGGCGCAGACCCCACAGTGGGTGACACAGATGATGGGTGGTTTCTCTGCACAGAAGGCCTGGAAATTGACTTCTTAGCTGTAATGGCGTGCTTATGGAGAAGATCAGGAGGGAAGTTGGTATTCCTGACTGTTTGCTGGGGGTCCGAGAGACTACTAGTCCCACCATGGGACCCAGGAAGTCCGTTGCGAGACTGTCCGCCGTTGAGACGTTCCGTCACGCGTGGATTCCTAGAGATCCCCTGCGTCTCGTTAACCAGGTGAGGCGTCTGGTTTGATTTGACTGATGAGCTGGAGTTTCCGGGGCCGAGCACATTGCGTGTGATGAGAGTGTTGTGCTTTAAGCAGTGTTTGCTACCGTTGGTCAACACAGTAGAACCGCACCCCGCAGTGGCGCATCGGTCAATTGGGCGGGTCGCGTCCATCTCATCACATGAGCGCTCTTTCGGAACGGTGCTCTGAGTACTAAGAAGCCGGGCTCGCAGATTTTGAAGCGTACTCCTGGTAGTCATCAGAGTCGTCGAAATGCAATGTACGAGTCAAGAGCCGCAATCGAGCACGTTATCGGGCCAAGTAGGCGATGCCTGCCTGACTTGAGGTGGCCCGCAACTTCGGATTATGCTGCTGGCTTGCCCAGGCTCTATCGGTGACACGAGAGCTTTTGTTGAGCTTGATGCCTGCCTTTCGGTTCAATGGGACAGAAGTCAAGGGCAGCCTGGAGTTCTTGTCTCATGGTCCGACGGCTGAAGACGAAGCGGGTAGACACGTATACCGTAGGCTCTAGTGAAGGTTAGCCATCGAGAATGAGTTAACCAAGCAAAGTCCGAGAAAGAGTAGATTGACGGAAGGAACAAGAATGGTGTAAACAGAAAAATGATGTGTGTCGCGCTCAGGTCTTTTCAGTTTCTTATTTTGGTCTTCATTTTGGGGAAACAGCGGTTTTGCAGCCCTAGCTTGAACCTCTCATGTCCGCCTCGGCCTTTGGTCCAACTTCGTAGAGGCACCCAGAAGCTGAACTCCAAATGAGGCTGCAATAATGTCGCTACTCGATCCCGACGTGTGAAACTTGGTTCATGAGGTAGCGACCAACGATGCGCGGCTCAACGCCAGGCGAAGGCTTTGCGGGGACGAGGACGTGGTTCAATCCTGAGAGTGAAGCCATAGACCAGGAACAAGATTGAGACAACAACCCCAGAAGTATCCTTTTCTATCGGACCTTTTACCAATAGTCATCATTGCGCGTGAAGGAAATGGAACGGAAAAAATTTAACGGAAAGAGTGAATGAAGAGCCTTGCTTACCTGGTGAAACCTGCCCGCCCGTTCTCTCGGTTTCGCGCCCACGCACCCTCCGCTTCGCGACAGCCGCCGAGTGATACTTTCGCATGGATCCAAAGTAAACGGCGTTAAAACGTGTATAACATGGAACCGCAGACAGTTCTCATAATGAGCTGAGAGTTATGCCGAAAGCAGCGGGTTGCCTCGTGGGAGAAACGCCAGACGTGGGCTCGTGGTCGCGGAAACGTGGTTGAGGCTCTCGCCTCGCGTTACGTTCAGTGGAGGTTGTGTCGAGTGTTGGTTGCTTCAATTGAGGTAGAGGTCAGGTAAGGTAGGTAGACCGCAAGACCTCGGGGTGATCCTTGCCTAGCTTCCACTCTTTAGCGACGGGCAAAACGGGGACCTTGGGTGGCACATTCCGCGGGGCCCATAGAAGGTCGGCCGCGGATCATCTCCCATCCGTACCAAGTACCACCCCTCTATTCAATGCGGGTTAGCGCGGGGCCCTGGACGCTGCTGGCTGAGGTGCTGTCCCCTGGCGTCAGTGGTCCACTGTCTTGTCGCCAAATTGCCCGAAGCTCCCTGCCTGCGCTGGATGCGCGTGTTGCAACGTCTTACATTTACACGATTTCAAGACCAGTCTCATAGATCGAAGCTTCGCCGGACCGAAACGAAGGCATCCGAGACTGAACGATCGATATGAATTTCCTCAAGTCGGCAGTCGCCTCTGCCATAGCTCAAGGGCCACCGTTCCCCTACAGCTTTGGCGACAGAGTTGACATCGACGAGTCCATCTGGACTCTCAACAATGGCACCAAGCGAGTACGTCAAGCTTCCCGAGGAAATCCCCAAAACGCTCAAAATTGACGCCCCTTGCAGGAAGACGGATCTAACTGCAGCATTTTCTCCTTCGATGTCACCGCGAACAAGTCTCGACTTCCCCTTGCTAAGAATGCTTTGCGAAAGCTGAGAACGCTGCGCCACCCAGGCGTGATCAAGGTGTTGGATACGGTGGAGGTATGCGTGCCCTGCGTCAGGATATGGTGCTTTCTGACACGAAAAACATAGACCGATTCGTATATTTACATTGCGACCGAGCGCGTGGTGCCTCTACGATGGCATGTGAAGAGAAAGAGTTTGACACCCGAGACCATAAAATGGGGGTTGAGTAGCATTGCGGTATGTCAAGCAAGGGGACTGGAGCTCTGCAGGAAACTGACCTCCTCCCAGCGCACAGTCAAGTTCATCAACGACGAAGCCTCATCAATACACGGCAATGTCAGGGTCGGATCCGTTTACACGTCTGAGAGCGGAGAGTGGAAAATGAGCGGCTTCGAGGTTCTCAGCAACGTTAAGGAAGATGATGCTGTAATTTACGTGCGCAAGCTCTTTTCCCTATTTTATGCCGACGGCGGCGCTGACTGTTCACACAGACGTACGGAAGTTTGGTCCCAGATTCTGCAAGATATGCTCCACCAGAGCTTGCCCGCGGCGGCTGGGATGCCATCAAGAAGAACCCTCACTCAGCCATTGACTCTTTCGGTTTCGGTTGCTTAATTTTCGAAGTGTTCAACGGCGATTTTATGGGGTCCGACCAGGCCGGCCAGACGAAGAGCATTCCCCCAACAATGCAACAAAGCTTTAAACGCTTGGTGAACCCAAACCCGAAAGCGCGTGTCAGTGTTGGCCACTTTTTGGAGCAAGGCCAGCGTAGCGGGGCTTTCTTCGATAGCCCTCTGATCAAACTGACAGAGGGCATCGAAAATCTCGGCGTCAAGTCCGAGACCGAAAGAGAAGAGTTTCTTGAGTGAGTTGAGCCAACCTACCTATACAGAAACGACTTGACTAACCGCCAAAGTGATCTCGACCAACTGTCAAATGATTTCCCAGAAGACTTCTTTAAGATGAAGGTCCTTCCAGAACTAATAAAGTCGGTGGAATTTGGCGGCGGTGGTCCCAAGGCGTTCAGCGTCGTCATGAAAATCGCCGCCAAGCTGTCTAATGAGGACTTCGACGCCAAGATCACACCCGTGGTTGTTCGTCTCTTCTCTAACCCAGATAGAGCCATCCGCGTTTGCCTTCTTGACAGCTTACCTCTCATGATCGATCGTCTCTCGCAGAAGGTTGTCAACGACAAGATTTTCCCACAGCTCGTGACCGGTTTCACCGATGTTGCGCCAATCGTCCGGGAACAGACCTTGAAATCTGTTCTTGTCATCATCAACAAGCTTTCAGACCGGACAATCAACGGCGACCTGCTCAAGTACCTTGCCAAAACGGCGAACGACGAACAGCCTGGCATCCGTACAAACACGACCATTTGTCTTGGAAAGATCGCTAAGAACCTAGGCAATTCATCCAGAGGCAAGGTTCTGATTGCTGCTTTCACGAGGTCTCTCAGGGACCCGTTCGTGCATGCCCGGAACGCCGCTCTCATGGCTCTCGGCGTTACTGGAGAATACTTTACAGACGAAGACGTCGCCCTTAGGATCATGCCCGTTCTGTGCCCGTTGTTGATCGACAAGGAAAAGCTCATTCGCGACCAAACGAGCAAGACCATGGATGTGTACATCCAGAAAATCAAGAAAGCAGCCGCAGCCATGCCAGATAGTGCCCTGCCTCCCCAAGGTGCCGACGGCGCTGCTGCTCCCCGGATGGGCACACCCCAGCCAAGCGGCGACTCAGCTGCCTCTTCCTGGACCGGTTGGGCCATCTCCTCGTTCACCAACAAATTGTCCTCTGCGGCAGGGGAGATGCAGACTTCTGCTGGCACTGCATCTCCTAAACCGTCTCCATCGCCTGGTCCGGAAGCCAAGAGGCCAACCATGTCTTCGGCATCTGCCCTGCATAGACAGGTAGTGAAGTCGCCCCCTCCCATCTCGCGAACCCCATCAACTATTGTCGCCGACTCTTTCAACCCCGAGCCTGCAGACGATGGTGATGCTTGGGGAGACATGGGTGATGACACCTGGGGTGAGCCGGCGACTGAAAGTGCCAAGCCAGCAGCAAAGACGACCACCAGCGCGACGCCATTTGACGATGGCTCCGAGCCTGACTTTGCTGGATGGCTCGCTGCTCAGTCGCAAAAGAAGGGTGGCTCAAGCAAGCCCTTGCCGAAGGGACTGTCCAAGTCGTCCGCTTCTGCCGCAAAGAAACCGCTGGCTACTAAACCAGCGGCTAAGCCCGTAGTAGCCAAGAAGATAGATCTGAAGCCCAAGGAAGAGGACGACGACGATGGTTGGGGCGACGGATGGTAGACGATTGTAACACGCACATTTTGCAGCATGTACGGCGTTGGGAGCCAGGTCTCACTAGACCCATGTTTTTGGGATACCATAATTCTGCTTGTAATGTTCTTAAAGCAACTACCCTAGTCTGCAAATGAGAATCGTAATGCAGATGGCCGCAGCCTATCTGTGATGCGATACAAACGAGTTTCCAGACGCCCCGCCAACCCAGGCCCCAAGTCCAATATCAGAATGAGAGAACAAAAGACGTAAGCAAGAAGTCCTTTTGGAGACCAAACGTAACCGATCAAAGTTGGAAAAGAAAAGGCCACCCGCGGTAGAAAACCATCGAGTCGTTATCTAGCTGACTCTGAGTAATCGTTGAGGGCGACGCAGACGGCGCCTCTGTGATGGCCGTTGTACTGGCGAATGATCTGCTGGCTGTGCAGCTCCCAGAGTCGGGCGTAGTGGTCGGAGCAGGCCGTGACGAGGTAAGCCGAGTCGGCGCTGAAGGCGCAGTCCCAGACCCACCGCTGGTGACCCGTCAGGGTGGCCTCGAGGGGGAAGGGCTTGGGCTCCTCGTTATGGGCAGGCTCGAGATCCTTCACCTCCCAGATGCGCGCGGTGTGGTCGGCGCTGCAGGTCGCGAGCTTCTTCACGTCTGGCGACAGGAGGATACGAGTAATATACTCCTTGTGCGCGTTGAAGTGCGTCACGGGCAGGAGCTGCGTGCGGTCGTAAGTCTGGAGGAGCTGCCAGACAAAGACGTTTCCCTAGTTTGCTGTCAGCTTCCTGGGACTAGTCATCATCATTACGAAGTGCTGCTTACGCCATTATTGGCCGCGCAGAGGAGAGAACCATCGCTGGCGACGGTGACGCTCGAGACGGAGACGTCCTCCTCCGGGATGAGCTGGTGAGAGCAGTTGTTCTCAGCGAGATCCCAGACGCGGACGCTGCCCATGCGGTCGCAGCTGATGATCTCGCCCTGGTTGGGGTGGATGACGACGTCGTTGGCAGGGCAGCCGTGGTTGTAGCTGCGCTGGACCTGGCCGCTGCGCGTCTCCCAGATCTTGACGGTGCCGTCTTCGGAGGAGGTGACCATCCACTTGCCCTCGCAGTGGAAGGCGACGCCGGTGATGTTGCCCGTGTGGCCCTCAAAGGTCAGCAGCGGGTTCGGGTTGGTGGACTTGATGTCGTAGAGCTTGACGGTGTGGTGGCCGGCGGCCGCGAGGAAGCGCTTGTCGGGGGAGATGCAGAGGCGGTTGACCTGGGAGTCCGGGTGCTGGATCGTGCGGGAGCAGATGCCGGAGAGGGCCTCCCAGAACCTGCAGGAGGTTAGTCAGGATTTTTCGGCGATCGCGACCGTTGTGAGGTACCTGATTGTGTGGTCGTAACCAGCTGCCAATTATTAGCGATCTGTTTCACCGGCCTTTGAGCATCGACAGGGCTGGAAGGTGCTTTGGGGATGCGAAAGGGACCCAAGACTCGGGGGCTTACCTGTGCAGAGAATCACAGACATGGTTGCTGTAGGAAAGCCTTAGGCTTCGGTTATCTCATGATATGTCGTATTGAAGAAAGGAAGGGGGTGAAATCGCAAAGAGCGCGACCGGGAGACTGTTGCGCGCAAGTTCACCACTAGGAAAGTGCCCCTCCACGACACTGATGCGGTCGGCTGGATTGGCATCACAATGGAGCTTCCAGTGTCGGTTCCTAAAACCACGGCCCCACCAGAGGTCCGGGGCACTGCGAGTACCCACCAAGGTGTGTCTTTGCCGGATTAACTTCGGCAGCAGCTGTTCATCGCATATCCATACCTGCCTAGGCAGATAAGGTACGTACCACTTACACGCGACAACCACCTTCCTCCGAACCTGAACTTCAACACCACCTCTCGGCTACAACGTTGCTTCATCACCATCATCTTGTCTTTCCAATGCACCAAACTCGTCTCATGTCGCATATCGAACCGTATGGCTCGATCTCGGAGCCGATCTGTCAAGCACGTTGGCTGAACCATGGCCACATGACACCTTCGACAAGCAACTCGGCAGTGTAACCCGACCTTTAGGAGGTGCTTGCCATGATTCCGATCAAAGTCGGTCTGCACTTATATCGTGCAAAGAAATCCAGAAGTTTCGGGCGAAGTACAGCGTTTGAGTAGGAGATCCCAGGTGCTAATCGACGTGGCTTCCCGATACTCCTGCCAGCGTCATCCGAACCAGGTGTCGTGCAACAGCCAGGGCTTACTCGAGCAGCTCGCGCAGGGCTCGTACGGTACGACTGTCGTAGTAGCGTACGACGCCTCGCAGATCCAGCCGGAGCATCAGTCACTTCTCAGGAAAGAGACCATATGGAGATGGCACTGTCTACCAATCGGGTCCAATGTGAAGGTCATTGAAAACTGCCTGATATATTGACGTTAGGATCCCTCACTGGCGGAGGTTCACTCGGCCGATAGCTTCTGGAAGCCTCAATGCGCGTCAGACTACCTTTGCGGAATGTCTTCGAGCCACTATCTGTGCTTTGCAGCGCACTCTGGACAACCGTGGGCGTATCAATCCAAGCGATACAATTTGGACTCGTGCCAATACGGATTGTTGCCGATTTCTCGACTTTTCTACCATGGGCAGCCCCGAAATTGACACAAGGGCCGAAATGACTGGCTTTCAGAAAATTGTGCATTTCAGCCCGGTTGTCGCATCAGCTTTCATCCAATCGTGTCCCTGCAAACTCAAAGCCACCTGGTTTTCCGACGATTATCAATCCGAGGGAGATACAGACTTCGGAATAGAGAACGCACGATATCGACCTCTTCTCTTTAGCATATCCCTGAGTTAGATCACAAATCATGGCCGATACATGGTTGAGCCTACCAGTCAACACCGGCGGACAAGATACATCATCCGAAGGCTACTGCCTTCAATCTTTAAGGTACTCGGTATATGGTTCAGAGCGAAGCTCTCTGTTGTGCAACTCGGCTCTCGTACTCATGCACATCCTCCGAAGTCTTTAGCGGATTAAAGCCGTACACCTGCAACACTTGTCCGACCCCGGAAGCATCACACCCAGCCCCGGAAGACGCCTGACAACAAAATGCGATTCGGAACCCAACCCAGAATTCGATTCGTGTGTGTCGCGGCCCAACAGCTCGATCCAGTAGGAGCCACCGGACACTGCCCCGGTGATTCACGACCGGCCAATACCACGTTGTCAGCGATTATTACGCACGTGTGTCGCCTCATCAGCTTCATACGCGTGACTCTCGAGATGCATCGACGGTTCCGTTATGCCGAAGAAGCGTGTCAACGTTGCCCCAAAGAACATTTGATCTCTGTCCTGGTTTCTCCATACCGATGATCTGTACCTATGACGGCGCTTAACCGGTGTTATTGTCGAAGTGCTCTCGGAAATACTCAGGCAGCGCCTTAAGAGTAGGGGAGGATGAGCCCGATTGTAAACCTCAAGAATGGCAACCCGCTGAAAAGTGTTCATTGAGAACCTGGAAACTTCTTCTACTCTGCTCTGCTTGCGAAGTCCCTGGTCTAGCGACGCTTTCTTAAACGCCGGCAAATTGCTCTAAAAGAGTTGCATCATCTTGGATTCCGAAAGCCGTGAGACCCTTTCTGACAAGAACCACTAAAAAAAGAAAAAAAAGAAAGGAATAAAGAACGATACAAAACGCCGCCCAGACACACTCTTTTGGCCACTGGGACCTCCCTGCTCTCTTGAAGAGTATCTTCTTGAAGAGTAACGTGGCTGTCAGGGGTGATGACATTTACAGGAGCCTCTCATGGCTCAGAGAATGGAAGCTCTTCTGGCACTCTCAGCTACGTCCGGCGGCAACTCCTCTATCAGGATCGCCGTTGGCAGGGCCTCTAGGGCCCCTAGGTCCGGGTTTGTCAGGACGCGCGCCTCCGGTCCGAGGCTTGGAGCTCAAAGATCGATCTTCAGCTGCGCGCCTGTGAGGGCACGGGACTCTGACTACGCCTTGAGAGCCGCAGAAATCACAAGGGTTTCTTGAAAACCGTCAGTTAACTCTGGCAACTAAAGGCTCAAGTTGTCTTACCGTGCGTGGCCAAAACAGTGGGTGCAAGTTCTGAAGTCCCACTTGCCAGAATACATATCTTCGATACATCCACAGACTTCGTCGGAGGCCATGTTGTCGACGGCTGTGTGATGTATACGGAAATTTGAAAAGTTCAATTGAAAAGCTGATCTTTAATCGAGGAATTGCGCGGTGAGAATACTGGCAGCAAGTCTCTCTGGATCTCTGCAGGAAGCTGAACAAAAGGGACCGGCCCTGCCCGTCTCTTATACTTTTTCGCCACGCCATTCAAAATACGCTCACAATGGTCTCGAGAAATATCCAATTCTAGGAGAGGTTTGACGAGGCGAGTAAGCCTTCGAGCTCGGTCACTCTTCACCGCCTTCTCCGGGCGCTTTTCTGGGCATCATCACCGAGTGTTGACACCCATCGGACATCACAGGAGAGGACTGTTGGTCCGGTCTTGTGACTATGCTGGGTGCTTCCGTCAAGGTTGCCTCGTTTCATCCTGCGGACCAACGAATGGGGTGAAGAGTGTGGGTGATACTTCATATGCCGCCTTCTCCTGCTTGTCTTGATTGGGAAGTTTCTTGACCGGCATGGGGCTCTCGATGGGCACCCTTGGGTATTCATAAAGGGGATTTGACCCTGTTATTGACGTCAGCCGCAGGAAGTACAGATATCGGCCTGCACATGCCGCCCCGTCGGCAAATTCGAAGTAAGTGGCATTTGTGCCTCCCATGCGGTATTCTGTTTGTCTCCAACAGCCCCAGAGAGCCGTCTCAACGCATCTGAAGTTGACAACACTACTGTGCAGAGGGAGTTGCTCCGGGGTCAATTCCCCCCATATTATTGCAGCAAGAACCATTGTTCTCTATTAACAATGTCAGCAACTTTTGCTGCTTTAGTCCTGATCTGCCTCGGACTTCGATCCGGGCATGTCGGATGCTAGCTGTTCCAGCAATCATCCTGCGACCTCGACCGACTGCCGGCTACCTGCATCGAGACCATGCCGATCTGCCCACCCAGACGTACACCGAGCACATTAGGGCCTTGGAATCCTGCGGTTGAAGGAGCCAGGCTAAGGGTCGCTCGGCATGCTGCAAAAGGGAAAAGAAAGGGCGGTGTTGTCAGAACTGCCTTAGCCACGAAGAGCACGCGTCTATTGAAGACAGGCGTGTTGGTATTGCAGACAAAGCTCCCCCTGGCGGTGCTACCGGCGCACGTAGGCTTTTACGGGATCCAATAGGAAAGCTTCATCCAGACAAGGTACTTTCTCTCTCGTGGGTTTCTGAGCACAACAGCCGACTCAGCATTTCGATTCGAGTCTCACTGTCTCGTCAAGCGACAGCCACGGGTCGGCCCATGCCTAGCAAGGCAAACCCAGAGTCTCCAGCTGTTGGGAATGCTACAAGCGACCTGCCGCCCTTTTTTCTCTCGGACTGCAAGCTTCTTTTGAACCTTGAGTAACCCGAGTTTCTCGAAGGATTCACCGGTCGACAATTTCTGGCAGTGCGCCGCTATGCCAGCCTCGTGGCATTAAGCGCCATGCTGTGGTCAACCAACTCCAACATGCGGTCTTTGCGCGGTTCTATTGCCATCACGCACTCACCTCGATCCCACACCGGTGAGGAATCTCGGAAGAATCCGGATGTCAGCTTGCCATGCCCAGACTCAGGCGGACGATGCAACATTCTGGGAGGATTGTGAACTATAGCAATTGCCAGACATTGGAACGTCTGGGGAAGTCGCAGTCACTCAGCTTCACGATTTCGGCGGCCCTGCAACATTCATCGCTTTGCTCAGCCAATTCTCGCGTTGTGCTACCCAATTTTCTCGTCAAAGACCTGCTCGAGGCGATCACGATGGGTCATCCGACAAGTCTGTACTCTCCATGGCGTTCGCAACTCAGGACTGGTTTAACGACACTGTATGTATGCGTGGAATGCAGACGTGGGGTCTTTCCATTACAGTATTCCATTGGGCGTCGGTACAGTGCCGACTGACTAACCAACCAACCAAACCCCCAGCCCCCCGCGGACGACGACATGTTTTCTCTCTCAACTCTCTCTCGTTACATCGCGGGGCTCACCCCCAGCATGATCACCATGCATGTCATTCCGCGCCTTCATGTCGACGGACCTCTCAGAGGCTTTCGAGATATGCCCCGGTCTAGTACACACATAACGAATACGCCCCGTGATATCTCCCGTCTCCTACAAGCTCCTGCTCTCCCTCTCCCTTCTTCTCCTTTGTCCTCCCCCGACAACTCATGCCGACAAGCGCATCTCACCAACGCTCCCCCAGTCTCTCACCCGCGTGGCGTCGCCCACTGCAGGCAAACTTGCGAGTCTCGCTGAATAGTTGCACACGACTAGCAGGCTTGGCACCGGGCACTCCCCAGGAAAGAAGTCGTTGCCCACCGGAGCAGCGTTAACTAATACTACGTCCATGCATGTCTCATAATCAGACGGACAGATAATAAGAAAGGCCCTTTGTCCCGAGGCCAACGTGTCCCACGACAGAGCCAATACTTCTCCCACGGCCGAAGGGGCCCCGACCTACCCACGAACCCCTCCCCCTCCTTATAGAAATCCTTTCTTTCCCAATTTCATCAGCCGCCCCAGCTGTCAAACGTACAGCGTCACTGCCATCTTGCATAATCATATGGTAGTCAGGCTGTCCAATAATCTCCTGCGTACTAATCGGCCTGATGCGTCGTGACCGGGAGGCTTCTAGTCTACCCGAGACTGTTCTCTCTTTTCCTTCGAATTCGACTTGACAGATCTCCCACCTTCTGTATCTTGAACCCCCTCTATACCCGTGTCATCGTGGAAATCCTCTCGGTCGAATGAATATTTCTTAAAGGTTAAGAAAGCCTGGTATTTGAGATTATACCTTTGTATAAGAAACAGACGATCTTTAGGTGTACTTTGACGCCAGTTGCCGTCTTAGATGTCTATAGTTAGCGGAGAGCTCTCGGACGTAATGCCTGGGATTTATCATCACGACACTGCAATTCAGCAGCACGAATAATACGGGCACCTGGGGAGATTCAGTGAGACCGAGGGTCCTTGGCCTTGTTGAAAGACATGGTGGCATCACAGAGTTTACCACGCTTGAATCTCATCGATTATGAAGTGACGAGTTTCCATAACTAAGCTAATTGTGCGATTGACTAGAAGAAAGACTGGGTGAGGAAAGTCATACTAGAGATAGGAGGAAGTCTGGCCCTAGGTATATCGTAACCTGCGACAGAATCGTTGTCAAACCCATTAACCGTGCCTTTCCATAAACGTAAAAGCCCTCCCAATCGTCGGACCTTGCGTAAGCCATTCCATGTTCCTAAATCCCCTGACGCCGTATGAACCATCCAGTTGTGGATCGTCCAAAGTTGGACCCCCAAGTCGTAAATAAGCAACGTAGAAAAAGAAAAGAGCCAGTAAAGTGAGCCTCCCAGACTAAAGAGAAGGAGCCGTCATCGCGAGCATTCCAGCAAGCATGCTGACACCAGCGCCGACACCGACGCTGAAAGTTCCGATCTTGCTCATGCTAGGAAGGAAGCGGAAACGTTTAGCGGGACGTTGCTCAGTGACTTCAGGTCTAGGGAGAACGGGGGGCGCAATCTCGGAAGTATTGCTCTCCTCGCCGGCGACAATCGAGGCCGTATCTTGGGCAGCTTGGTCGATGGTCGACGTCTCCGCAGCTTGTTCTTCTGGAAGAAGAGTAGAAATCTCGTCAGCCTTGCGCTTGGGAGACCGCGGCGGCGTGCTCTCCTGAACAGGCTTGTCCGTGCCGGCGACCACAGCCTCTCGAGTCTTTGGCGGCTGTGTAAGGACTGCCAGTTTGCTCTGCTGGTATTGGAAGGCGCTGGTCATGTCGGGCTCGGGGCTCATCTCTCGTTCAGGAGAAAGACGGTCTTCCTGCGGCGAGTCGAGGAATCTCCTGCCCGGGGCAGCCCAGACAGACTCGGGAACCTTTGTCGACTTTGGAGCCTCAACGTCGACTGGAGTGGGCTTTGAATAGATGTCGTTGTCGGCAGCTTGGTCTGGAGTAGCAGCAGGCTGGGTTGAGACTGGAGCTTGCGAAGGCTTCAAGGATTCCTCGTGTTGACGCAATATCGCCTTGTTTTGCTCACGGGCACGGAAGAATTCAGGCTTGCCACTCTTCTGTCCAAGGACATCGACGGACGGCCCGTCATTTTGGGACAACCATGGGTTCTTCTCCTCCATGCTGGGATATTTCCAATCATCCCCTCTTGGTCCATGGGCTGGCTGCTGTCCATGAGCTGCTAGCCAAGGCCGATGGGAGGCGAGGACATCCAGAGGTTGCGTTGAAAGCAGCGGGGTAAGAGTTCTGCCATCGGACAGAGGGGTCGCCTGGTTAAGCAGAGGCGGAAGCTTGAAATCATTCCCAAATTGGTCTTCGGATGAACCTGGGAAAGGCCATGGCATAGCAGCAGGACACATAATGTGTTGAAGGGGTAACGTTTGGTTGGTTGACGCAGTAGCAGTAGCCGGCTCACAGATGGTCATGGATGTGTCATTGGCCAGGTTGTTGCGAGGAGGCTCATCCCAAACGTACTCATCATCATCTTGTGGGTCGTTCTCTCCGTCGCTACTCTCTGCATCCGATTCACGGACGTCGTGGTCGTAGTCGGTGTAGCATTCGGCGTCATCGTCAAGCTCACTGTCTTGCTCATCGTCCTCTTGATCACCATCGCAATTGGCATGGCAGTTAGTGTCTGCCTCGGCATCTAGCTCGTCGATGACGTCGCCGTTGTCAGAGCCGCTCAGGGAGTCACTGAGGCAGATATCCTCTTCGTCGGAGGTTTCATCGGAAGATTGACCCTCGCTCGAGACACCCTTGTCTGACAAGTCCATCGAGTCTCCCTCTTCGTAAGAATCATCTAAATCAGAATCAGAGTCGTCAAAGGTAGGGATCGGGTCAACGAGCGCAGAATGTTGCGCAGAAGAGGGCTCCTCCTCCTCATCATCGTCATGGGGGGCGTCGAAGTCCACAGTAGCAGGTGGAGCAGGGGAAGCAGGCTGGAAGGAGCGAGGAATGACAGCAGGAGCCTCGAAGACGTGATTCGGAGCATTGTCGTCATCAAGGACGATGGCGGCGGCGGCGGATTGTCCTGCTGTGGAGGCAGGGACAGGGGCGTCATCCGTGAGGTCGATAGCAGTGGCTGCTGCGCCCGGGAGGCGGTGCTGCGCAATCAAGCGAATTTTCTCCATTGTCGCTCTGATATCATCGTCGTCGTCATTGTCGCTGCTGTCAGAGTCATCAGGGACAGAGTATGTGTAGGTAGGCCGGGCGTTCGCGTGTTCAGTGTCAGAGGGAGGATCCCACTGGAAGTGCACCTGAACGGTGCAAGGCGGGAATGACTCGCTTGATCGTTGAATGTCGATGCCAAACTTGAGAGTGTCTCCTGGAAGCAACTCGTACGCCTCACCAGAGTTGATTCTCACGGAGTTTCTGTGGGTTCCGTGGAGGGAAGTCGAGTCCTTGATATAAAGTTTCTATGTTCGGGTTAGACCTTGGTACCACTTTGTACGTTTGGGTTTGGCCCTACCTTGTGGTACCAATCAGGATACAATTCGGCATGCTCGCGGCTCATGACCGGGCTGTCGAACAAGGCGTTGGTGTTCTTGGGTTCGAGGGCGGGTAGACGCTTGCTGGATCTGCCAATCCTGACCTTTTCAGAGGCGGAGTCGACGCTCTTAGATTCCAAAACGATTCTACGCTCGGGATACTGGAAGTCGGGAGGAGGGTACTGGGCCGAGAGTGTGACAAGCACTGGAATATCGGTTAACCACAAGCTGTACGTTGGGAGAAGAGAGGAAAATGCTGTAGGCAGACATACCACTACTCGCCAGCTGTCGATGGCCAGATGCCATTATGAATAGGCTGGACCCAAAGTTGGTCGACTAAAAGTGTGCAGAGCGACAGACGCAAGGACCTTGGTGTTCTCGAGGAAGGGTCAGAATCGACGAGCGTTTGTCGTGTCTCGGGAGACGTTACCTCCGTCCGAAAGTGTCGGAGCTGACAGAGCGTACGTGAAGACGAGACGATCCCGTCTGGAGCACGGAGACGATGGACGGAAGTGAATCCTCGCGGACCAAAGATAGGATGTGAGGTTGAGAAGAAGAAGGAGGACGAGAAGGAGTCGGGTGGGCGTAGAAGAGAGCCTTGGTTTCGCCGATGGCGCAGGCTGAAGGTTCGGAGGGTGGAAGTCAGGCAGAGAGGTAGGAGCGATACAGTGTAAGTAGGGAGCAGTCGAGGCCGGCAGAGGTGAGGTGGGGCAGGAAGCAGTGGGATCTGGAAGTAGCACCGTGCTGGTACTGTATCAGGCAGTCGCAGGCAACGATAACGCCTTATCAGACCTCAGGAAGGTGCGCCTCGAGGGAAGCTTGCAGGGGGGGGTGTTGGCGTCGTGGTAGCGGGGGGATGGTGGGTTAGTGGGGTTATCAGCAGCGGTGACGTTCAGACACTTTAGATAAGTGCTGGGTCGAGTTGGCTGACAAGACGACTGTGGAAGTCGCCGACGACGCGATATGCCTCGGGAAAGATGGAAAGAGGAATATCGGTAGAGAAGAAGAAGAAGAAGAATTAAATAAGCGCTCTGTTTCTGTCACGACAGATAGAGAATAATATCGTACGCTCCTCGCCTGTGAAGCTGGAGCCAAAGAGGTGAAAGTGCACTTCACAGTCACACAGATACCTTGATTGGCCCGTGCTCTCCACCAGGCTGCACAGTGTGTGTCTGGGCGTCAGGCAGGCTCGTTCGGGTTGGTTTGGGATGTGATGACGGGATTAGGAAAGAGGGGCATAGGTAGTTTGCTGCACCTTCAACTCATATGGCACCTGACGGTTGGCAGATTTGCTTTCGCGAGGAGGCGGGCAGGTAGGTAGAAGTACAGTAGATGGAAGAAAGTTTGAGGCAGAAGAAGTTGTTTGCTAAGGCGGCCAGAGAGGAGAGGTTAGTGGCTAAAGAGGCAAGTGCTAGTCCTAGACACAAAGTGCGTGTTCGAGGTGTACGCAGTAGCAGGGCCATTGATGGGTGCCTTAAGATAGAGAGGCGAAAGAGACGGAAAGACAACTTGAGGATAATCGAGAAGGTACGACTGCGACGACGCTGTCGTTCGTATTCAATGAGTTTACGGCCGAATCATAGGTAGAATTTTCTAGACGTCCCCAGCTCTGTGGGCAAGCCTAACGTGAATGCTCTCGGTTGGCTTTTTGATCACAGGCAAGGCGAACCATTATCGCAGTCGCCAGAGCGCCCCAGTCAAGCCAGCATCGCAAAGGCTGGCTGGAAAGGCAACCGACACCTCACAAATCGCATACAGCCTGCCTGACGACCTGCCCGTGTCCACGTCGTCCGCCTTCATTCGCGCAACTGCGCGTACATTTATTTAGCTCGCGGCTGGTTTGGCCTCAAGTCCTAACGGCCCTTGGCTCGAGCCCCTACTTTGGCCCTCCCTTGTTGGTGGTCCGCCTTCACGTCAAGAAAGCACATATCCGCCCTTACCTGCGGGCGAGACCCTTACTGCCTGCCTTACCGTGTGAGGTGCTGTTTCTTTCGATTCTGACTGCATGACACCGCCGATGCCGATGGTCCGTACCTAATAGATATGTCAACTTCTAGTCATGTCTGACGCCTTGCGAAACCAAGACAGACCATCAGCTGGCAATCCCACGAACTGCATCCCACCGACGACCGTGGCAGAGTTGAGTAGTTGCACCTCGAGGTGAGTTGCGGATCTGGTGAATCCGGTGGTGTGTCTGAGAAACAACCAGACCCGTTGTATTACTGGCGCCGGCCGCGACTGTCTGAGCTAGACCCGAAGCTGCCACCATCAGATGATGCAGATTTACCTGTTTCCCATCATCGGCGGGAAGCACGGTGTGATGGGTGGCATCATGTACCTCGGTGCCGGTCACCTCGGAAGGGAAAGGTCCCTGAGGTACCCCTCTCGCGCATGCGGTTAGCAGACTCATCAGTGACACACAGATGTTGGAGGACTCACAGGGCCCAGCGCGCAGCCATGGATGGATGGAATGGAATGACGGCGGGGGGAGGGCGATCTACGAGCAGGGATCACTGCCCACCTCAAGGTGAGCCCTGGGTGGTGTGTGCGAGCGGACGGACCTAACCCCACCCAATACATCACTCTGGAGTCCTGCCTTCGGGACCTGTGGAGCGACAAGCAGCTGCTGGGCAGCATTTTGCAGCAGTTGACGTCCTGTTCCCCTCGCCCCCTACCCCTCCAAGGTCGTGGTGCTTTGTTCCTCACCTCGACCTTGCGCACCTGCGTGTCTCGCCCTACACGCCATTAAAAAAGTCTCGGTCGTCATTCGTCATAAGCCCACCCGCCGCTGGGCCTGGGCGTTGCACCCAGATCCATGATCAAAATCCTCCAAGTGAATGAGTGCCACCCAAACACCCTTTTTCTTAATATTCATCCGCCTACCACCCACCACCACCTCTACTGTACCCTCCACAACTTTTGTTTTCTCCGTTGCCCTAATTTAAATCCCCAAACTCCTACCTCCGATACTTTGCGATTACTGTTATAATAACGACATTCCCACATCCTCTCATGGATTGTGGATAGCAAATCTACGAAAGCTCTCACACACGGCATCGTCTCCCAGCAGTCTCGATTCACGTACAAGAACAAAAGAACCTAGTTCGCAGTCACTCGGCACATATAAAACTCTAGGTCTTCTCTTCGAGAAGTACCGCGCACATTCAACTACCTCTACATCTCAGCTTGCAACCGACCCCCCCGAAGTCGCAAACATGCACGATCTTAGACTCAAGGTTCTCCGCGAGAGCGGCAAGACTGTCTCCAAAAAAGCGCGATCGCGCCCCGAATCTGCCAGGGCGTCCATGAGAAATTCTCCCAACATCTCTCCCTCCCACTCACAAATCAACTCTCCCGCGCACTCACGCGCCGGCAGCCGCTATGCCTCCGAGGACGAAGCGAGCGACGACGAGTACGACGACAACATGACCATGAGCACACTGTCCAACGGAACCGACTCCGGCGACGAGGGCATTGGCGGCGCATCTGACGCCTCATGGGCGACCCTCCTGCAAGATCGCATCGTCGAGTTGCAAGATCGTAAGCGAACAAACACCAAGGGTCGCGAGACCACTCTTATGTCGTACCTTCACCTCGTCAAGCACCACTACGGCGGACGCCAAATCAGCGGCTCAATAAATGAGATCGTTTCGGCTCTCATGAAGAATATCAGGTCCGGAGGCAGCACTGTGGAGCGCATTTACTCTCTGAAGTCACTTCAGGCAACGCTGTTGACGTCACCCTCAGAAGTGCTGTTTGACGACATTTACCCACAACTGGAGAAGACATGCGAAGACGATGAAGACAGCGATGTCAAGGCGGCCGCGATCTGGGCTATGGCTATCGCAACGCTTTACGCCGGCGGAAGCGAAGAGGCCGCGAGCGAGTTCCTCGAATACATTGTCACCATCGTAGAGAGCGATGGTGAATCCATCAGTGCGGCCGACAGCGGCGAAGTAGTCACCGCTGCGTTAGAATCCTGGGTCTTCGTCGCCAGCCAAATCGACGACATCACCGAGAACGTATACACAGCCATCGACGCATTCGTGGAACAACTCGACAGCACAGACGTTGACGTACAAACAAGCGCCGGTTTCAATATCGCCTTCATTTTCGAGGCCGCACGGGACCTGGAAGAAGAGACGGGCGAGCCAATGAATCTACAGTACGATCCCAAGCGATTGATCAGCCGCATGCGCGAAGCATCAAAGCTCTCAGTGAAGCAGACCTCCCGCAAGGACAGACGTCACCTGCGCAAACAGTTCGCCAGCATTGTTACTTCACTAGAGCACGGCAAGGGGCCCGGATTCTCGACCGCCGGTCGCCCCTCATTCAACCCGCACACCGGAGGCACGAGGGCAGAGCCTGGCCGCAGAAATGACGACGACGATGACATGAGCGGTTTCGGGTATCGCGAGAAGTTGCGCCTGGGCTCTACGGTTGTGCTGATCGACTCATGGTCCCTCATGGCGAGAGTGGAAGCGGCGCGCGTCGTCCTCGGTGGTGGATTGCCAACTCACTTCAACGAGAACCCAGCGGTGGCGGAGCTTCTCGGTGGCGCCGAGAAGGAGGAAACGGCTCAGACTTATTCGCTGCATCCCCGAGACGCCAAGAAGATGAGAAGATAGAAAGCAGACAAGGCTAGGAAATGCAGGAGGAACAAGAAGAGTCACACGGCTGGACGTCATGGTTTCCTATGTCATTCCTTTTGTGCCGATAGACGAGGAATCATTAGGGAGAAACGGACAAACGGCATCTGGCATTGGCATCGTAGTAATACACAGATGCAAAGACGAGAAGAGAGGCGGAAGATACCACAGAGCGGGCGGGCCCTCGGATAGCATTATTTTTACACCTACAATACACCTTTACAGGACAAAGTTTCCAAGAATCATTTCCATGATGTGATATCTCTTTTTCACAGTAGTGTTCTTTCTCATGACGGAGGCAATCAAGGGAGTCGCAGACGTGCCTGGCAAGAAAGCCACTGATGCAGCTCTCCGCCGGAGGCGCATCCACGGGGTGACACGGCAGAGCCGATCTATCCCCTCGGTACGACGGGTCGGACAAGGCTGGGGGCACCAATCAAGGTGTGAGGCATAAGGGGGAGAAAGCCGACGGTGGTTGAATTTTGTTCCACGGGAGGTGAGTGGTGCAAACGGGAGCGTCTGGTCACTCTGTTGTGACGAATCCTCATGCTTGAGGGATGCTGTCTATCTATCCACAGGACATTTCTGAAAACCTACCGAGCTCGGGTCCATTTGGAAAGACCACCTGGGGCAGGAGTTCATCCTGCGTCATGCACAGTATTTTCCTGGGTAGAATATTTCGGGGCTTTTGCTGTAGATGCAGCATGTCGGGCATGCCGTGATGTTCGGGTGCAGAGGCGAAGGGGAGCGGGGGCAGGTGCGTGAGTGTGAAAACATGGCAAAAGAGGATGCGGACGTGGACAGGGACGAAGAGCTTCATTTGCTGATATTGGGGCGCCGGGTATGTGCCTCTCTTGAAGAGGGTGATTTGGACGGCGGTGACTGGACGGAGGTAGCGGGGTTGGGTTGAAGGTGCAAACGGCCGGCCGGGGCCTGGGCCGCCGGAGGATGGGCTTGTCCCGATGGACGCGGGGCTGTTGCCACCGTTGGGCGGCGGTTAGTACTGCTTATCTCCCATGTGCAGCTGAACTGAGATTCTCATTGGGGTCGACGGCACTAAGCAGGTGTTTGGCGGATTTATTGAAATCGGGGTCACAAGCCTCGGCCAGAGACGTGCTGAGGATGTCCGGATGTCACTCTGCAGAAGGACTGTGTCCCAGACATGAGTTCGGCGCCACCCACGGGTGGCGGATAGACATGCGGTTTCAGGTGCCAGCGGATGAAATGGCATCTCACTTGGCCCGCTGCACTTGGTCCCCATTGATCAGGTTTGGGACTTCTACATGTCCTTGTTATGTCAGCAGCGGCGGCGGCAGCAAGGAAGCAGGACGCAAGTATCCGTATTCGTAGGCGTGTCAGTCAATTTCCAGCCCGTTGACTTCTTGGTAGGAAAACCAAAAAAGAAGCAACCGGGAGGAAGAACCTTAGCTCCCCATTTTTGTTTCCTTATTCTCTTTTTGCGCCCTGCTAGTGGCTGATCATTCTCCACGAGTCTCCTCCCGTCGTCCAGGCAAAAATGTGACGCCCGAGCTTTCGCCTCCACTCAGGTCGCCAACTGTGGGGGCCCGTCGGGTTTGATTGCTGACAGGGGATCCTTTTTGAGCGCAGGGGAAGAGGGGCGGAGGGGATTTGGAGGGGCTGGGGGAGTGAGAGAGTGAGTGAAAGAGACAGGAAAGTGGGATGATTGCGATCTGTTTGGCGGGGTGGCTGGGGGTGAGAAGCCGAGGGGGTTTCGGGAGGAGAAGACAAACAGGTGAGTTTTGGGACAGAAGAACCAACGGAGGGAGAGAATGCCAAATTGAAGCTGCGAAGATGAAGAATTGGGTCTCGAGGTTTGAACGTTTGAGCTAAGTTGTTGCTTGACTACCTTAAGGTAAGGTAGGGTCGAGGGGTGAGCAGACGGATTGTGAAGTGAGCTGCTGCTGTTGGGTGAGCGAGGTGGAGGAGACGTAACGTGCGGGCAGGGTTGGCTGCTGCGGGAGAAGAGACGGTGAAGGGCAAGGGAAGCCACGCCTTTGCCGTCGATGAGAAGCAGTCGGATCGTTCATCTGCTGGAGCAGCACCCTCATGCAAGGCCCTTTTCACACGCCCCAAGCATGCGGCGGCAATTGGCCCGTCTCCCGGTGCCTTCCCAGCTCTTTTCGGGAAGGGAGCGAGGGACAACTCATCAAGCACCTCCACCCTCGTGGGACAAGAGCCCATCTGTTGGTCCGTCACAGTCGCACCCGTTTTTAGCTTCTTGGATTCTGGAGTGTACCTTCTGATCTCTGACCACGAAAGCAGAGGGCATCTCACCCGTAAGTCTGAGGTTTTGGGAGGACCTAGGGTTCTCTTCTCCGCTCGCCTCAGAGAGTTCCGAGTGTCTGTCTGTCAGTCGACCAGTGTTCCCAGCCAGCCCAAGAGCAGCGCAGCGCAGCGCAGCCCAAAGAACCAGAAACACCCCGCCCAGCCCAGCCCGCTCCCGCGCTCACCTTACCAACTTGAGAAGTTGAGATGACGACGGGTACCTCTAGCGCCCATAGATTGCCGCGACGTTGATCTTGTACCGCAATAACAAAGCCTCATAAGCTTGGACGAGCCGGGGGAGGCCCTGTAGGCCGCAAACCACAGAAACCCAAGAGTCAGACGCGAGACGCCGTCACAGACAGAGGCAGAAGAGCCCGACGAAGCGTCCATCTGTTAGTTGCGTTCCCCCTCCCTCGAGCCTGCTTCCCTGTCACTTTTGTCCCTTCTGCCCTTCAAGCTTGTGCCTGTGTGCTGTGCTGCCTTGCATCATCCCAGACTGTGAACCTGTCCATCGCTGTCACTATCGCCGCCGTCTACCTCGACCCCCGGTGCTGCCCGTCGTTTGTCTGTCACCTTCTCTCTCTTCTTTCTCACCTCGTCGCTTGCGCCTCTATTATCGACCACCGTTTGCTACAACCCGACCTTCTCAAAAACTGTTTCCACACTTTCGTTCTCGACTTGATATTCTCTTCGATTTCTGTTTCAGCGTCTAGCGACAGCCTCGACGTCGGAGGAGCAAAAAGTGTAAAACAAGAAATTAAAAAAATAAAGCGAGTCGCAAAATCAAAGGAGGCACTACCCCTGGAGCTTACCTGCCTCTCTGGTTCAGCTTCAAGATCCGCAACTGGGGCAACCACCAGCCCAGCCACCCCAGTTTGGGAACCGCCAACCTTACCTGACCTCACCTCGCACTGCACCTCGACCACTCGGCCTTTCCCTTGCGCCATCATACACTGCTGCTCTGCTGCACGCATTTTCCCTCACTTTTTTCACCACCTAATATTCCTCTTGGTTGCTTTTTTCATTGCTGTGCGTGTGGCATCAGCGGCCACATACCGCATTTTTTCTTCTACTTTTGCCTCTTGACATTCACCCCCCTCTTTGCGCGCAAACATCGCCGGATCGCAACGGCCCCCAACAAACGGCGTGAGCTCGCCTCGCTTCGCCTGCCTGCCCAGCTTATCGCCCAGCCCGCCCAGTTTTTTTTTTTTTTTTTTTCCCGCAGTAACGAACTGCTCCTGATGTCTTGAACGGCGAACCGGCACCCACAACAAACCCTTGCCCGCCTGCTTCGGCAACCCACTCACACTCACCTCTCCCTCTTCCCTCTTCCTTCTTTCCTTGATCCAAGGGGAAGGACAAGAGAAAGCAAAGAAGAGAGGTGTGTGAGCCGCAGTACGAGAGGCACTCGTCTTCCGCGCCCGCGCAACACCACCCGCTCCGTCGCCGAGGCCTCGAGCTGTTCACCACACAATGGGTGTTGACTCGAACAAGCCTCCTCCACTCCCTGCCCCGACCGAGACCGACTCCATCACCCCCACCGAATTGGCGACCGATGTGTCCAGGCCAAACGACGAATCTTCCCACTACTCTCTCCCCTCAGACGGCACTCCCGTCACCATCAAAACCCGCGGCCACAGAGCCAATCGCTCCCAGACCTCGTTGTTGATCGAGTATTTCGAGGGTGGCAAGCCTGGCGACTCCAGCTCCGTCAGCCGTAAGCCCAGCGTCCGCGTGCGCTTGACACCGTCAAAGAAGCACCGCCACGACCACATCCAGATCACCGAGACCAAGAGCAGCAGCGTCCGCAAGGCCTCGCTGACCCGTCGTGTACAACAACCCTCCATCACAACCCCGTCCCATCTGGACGTCGAAGCCCTCGAGGGCGAGGACGGAGAGAGTATGCGATCCTACGCCTCCGCCACCGAAGAGTCCAATGTGTCCAAAAACCCCATCGACATCGAGATCGACCGCAGCGGACGTCGTCGAAGACCAGCGAGCCCGTTGATCCCAGACGTCGACGCTGCACACGAATCTACTTACCTGCCTCCAAACCTTTCCGAGATCTCGGCCATTCCTAATGACAGCTTCCTAGACGGCTCTCCCGGCTCGACCGTCTTGACAAAATCGTCCGAGACTAGACGCAGCAAGAGTTCGACTCGAGGTGGCGAGATGGCTGCCGGTGTTGCTGGCGCAATGGCTGGTGCTGCTGCTGCCGACCAAGTGAGGAGCAAAAAGAGACACAGCGGTGAGAGGCGAGTCTCTGGTGAGAAGTTGAAGGATAAAGACCGCAAGCACCGCTCAAGTAAAAGCCGAACAAGCAGCATCAGCGAAAAGCAATCCGAGGCTGGAACGCGATCGCCTAGGCGACGCTCTAGCCGCAATCACGTTGACTCGCTCGTGTCTGGGGCAGATTCCAGCGTTTTATCATCCAGCATTTCTCCCAGCCATCGCTCGTATGATCAGAGCTCTGTCCGCTCTGGAGCCTCCAAGTCTTCCATCAACAACCCCAAATTGTTGGAAACCGTCGAGGACGCCATTCGCCGACTGATCCTGCCGGAATTGAGTGCTCTGAAGCGCGAGCAAAGCAAGCGCGAAAGTCGTCGCAGCTCTCTTACCTCCACCGGCACAGGCACATCCCTTTCTCGGGAGGACCTGGGGGTCGACCGACGCAGATCCGACAAGCGCAGCGAATCTGGCCGCGACAGTCGTCACAGAGAGCGCAGAGATCGCGAGGCCCGGCATGAATACACCGAGTCACCTCGCAGCATCGCCGAGTCTGTTGAGGGAGAGTCAGTACTGTCAGTCGATGACACTCCACGACGAAGCAATGGAGCGCTCAAGGCTGCCGCAGGAGGTGCAGCTGTCGCTGGCCTTGCTGCGGCCGCGTTGGATGCAACCTCGCCACCAGCCGACGACAGAAGACAGCGCAGAAGACGGCGTGCGGATGGATCAGCTAGGAGCCGCAGCTTGGGTCGTGAGAAGTACAACGAAGAGTTTGAGGAGGAAGAGGTCCCTGCACCACCAATGCCCTTGATGAGTGAGATCAATCCTTCAGAGATGACTCGCACCTCAATTCTGTCGGTAGATTCCCTCGCCGACCGCCCTCACTCCGCCATGGAAGAGAAGGCTGTTATTCAGGAGGTTGCCAGGGGCAATGCTGCTTCTGCCGCATCAACGCCAACACCTACCCAGACGCCAGCAGCTCAAACACCAACTTCCAATTTGCAAATTCTGGGCACGAAACACGCCAACGTGTCGCATGGTGATTTGAGAGAGCTGTCCCGCACCAGGACCGGAGAACTCACCGAGCAGCGTGAGGTAGACGATTACAGCAGCCCCAACCAGTCGCGGATCGATGATTATGACGACTACGATGACCGAAGCCGTGTGGATGGTGACGGCGACTATGACGATTCCAACGAGTTCGACTACTACAACACCCAGGATGTACCGCCTCCTCTAAAGTATGTCCCGTACCAACCCGAACGCCGCGGCCTGAGCCCCATCTACAGTGTTTCTGGATACACTGAGGCTGGAAGTGAGACCGCTGCTCAGCGTGATTCCCGAATGTCGCATGGCACTGCATCACCGACAAAGTCCCACCCCTCTCAACCGGACATGAGAGCTTTGTCTCCTTCGTCATCGATACCCAGCAACGTAATGGGCAGAGGCTTCGACGAACAATCTGAATTCAGCGTCATAGAACCCGGTCACGGCTTCCCCAACAGCGAGTTGACGCAGAACAGCGAGGCTGGCTACAGACAGAGCGAGCTGACACAGGACAGCGAACCTGGGTACAGGCAGAGCGAGCTTACGCAGGATAGCGAGGCTGGATACAGACAGAGCGAACTCACGCAAGACAGCGAGGCTGGATACAGGAACAGCCAGCTCACGGAGAACAGCGATGCTGGTTACCGCAACAGCCAGTACACCGAAGGCAGTGATGTCTTGGGATCCGGCCAGGCCGTACGCGGTATTATGGCCAACCCCAACATTATCCACGTAGCGAACGGCGTGGAATCGAATGTCGCTTCCTTGATCGACGGGTCCATGCTCGATCAGTCTATCATGACCACTGGATCTGGTTACGAGTACGGAAGGGATTCTCAAGTCTCTTACGGAGACTCCAACGTTTCGTACGATGACCAGCCTAGCAAGCTTAACATTCGATCGCGCGAGGTCAGCCCCGAGAAGGGCTCCGTCGCTAGCCACCGTGAATTCTTCGAGCAGCGTGAGCGTGAGAGCAGCCGGACGCCTACCTCTAGCCGCCAGAGCAGGTCAAGAGAGTTCAATGGAGAGTACGACCTCGATGAGTACGGTAGGAAGGTTGCTCCTTTGAGGTACAAGAACTCCCCATCTACCTCAACAAGACACTCGCCCACGGCTTCCGAGAAGGCGATTGCCGCAGGAGCCGTTGGCGCTGCCGCTGCCGCTCTGAAAGCTGCGAAGGATAGGAAGCAGCCAACTGTTGAAGAAGTCGATGAGGAACAAGACGAGTGGGTTGGTGACGGCATCGGACGAAACAAGTCTTTCAAGCAGCGAACTATGGAGGGACGCGAGCCCAACCACACTCCGGCTCACAGTGTCGACCGCCTCGACTTGGAAGACCAGCCAAAGATGGGTGCTAGTGCCATGCCCGCCTTGCATGATCCCATGCCTGAGGTCGGATACGTCGACGACGACGCCTTGACCAACCCGTCTCTCGTCCGCGAACCCCTTGGCGGTAGCGATAATGACGACCACGGTCACTGGCCTGGAGACGTTACCCCTCGCCAGAGCGATGTCGGCACATTTGAGGAGTACAGTGAAAAGCATGGCCACGGCTTGGGCATGGCCGCCGCCGGTGCTGCCGCAGGGGCTGCTGTCGGTGCAGCTTTGGCTCACCACCGCCAGCCAAGTCAAGAACACGAGGATGAGTGGCGGCGCACATCAGCCGAGCGGAAGCGGGACACTGTCATCACAAACCCGTATGACGGTGCCAGCCCCATTGACAATCCCGACCTCCTCGGCGCCCGTGGCTTCGATGATGCTTACGATGCTCATTACCATGGCAGCCCTGTTCACAAGAACCTGGACGAAGGCTACATCTCCCAGGGCCCCCTTCAATCGCCCAACGGCCAGCCCAAGGGCAAGGCTCTTATGCCTTTTAACGATCCCGGTGCGGAGGATCCCTTCTACATGCCCCAGCACGCGAGGCACCTCAATGGCATGTCTCAGGGCATGGCCTCTCCCATTTACGACGCTTCCACCGGAAACGGGATCGACAGCATCGAGTCCAAGGACATCATCGCTCTTATGCAACATGTAAGTTTGTGAACGATTCCACATTTGAATACGCACTGACATTCTCTAGCTTATGGTCCGCGACGCCCAAAGAAGCGCCCGAGACACTGAAATTCTCGTCACACTCGTCCGTTCCGCAGCTGAGATGCGCAACTCCTTTGAGGACCTCAAGAAGCTCCTTGCCAACACTGAAGACGTCATTATCAAGGAGGTCCAGGAGAACACCGAGGAGACGGTCAAGAACGTTATCGGCGGTCCCCGTCCCTACCCCGGCAGCCTTCCCCCGCGATCCATCAAGGGCCTGAGTGGTGCAGCTTCCCAGCATAGCACCCTTGATGAGACGACCAAGAAGAGTAACTTCTTCCGCAAGGCTCTCAAGGGTCTCAGCAATAAGGGCACAAACGATCTTGGCAGAATTGAGGACATGTTGAACCAGCTTTTGAGCGAGGTCGACACCCTCAAGGCCCAGACTGTGCGACCTGGCGGTGGTCAGTCTTATGAGAATCTTGGCCAAGAGATGCAGTACGAGCAAGACCGCGGTTACGAGCCTGAAGGCCAAGCTGGCACCTCCTCCACAAGCCATGGCTCGGGCATGTCTTCCTTTGCCCAGTCGCGTGGTCCTTCAAAGATGGGATACGAACCCAACCGTATCAGCACGGTCCACGAAGACAATGAGGAGGAATACCACCAGGGTCTGCAGACTCCTAGAAGTGAATTCCAGCGTGCCGACTCCATGCCTCTTAGTACACCTCCCCAACAACCCCACACGCGCAACGCATCAATGAGCAACGAGAACACACCAAAGACGGAGAAGGCGAAGAAGCACAAGTCCCGAGGATCCTCCAGCTGGTTCCCCAAGATTTCCCGGTGGTCTGAGTCGACAGCTACGAGCGTCGGCAAAGCCTTCCGCATGAGCGGTTCCAGCAAGAAAGACCAAGAAGAAGAGTTCCTTCAGCACCCTCCCTCCAGGTCCGGATCCGACTTCTATCAAGATGACTACCAGAGCGACCAGCTGCACTCTGGCTTCTCCCAACAGGACCTCGTTCCTCCCCAGCGGCTTGAGACCGTCCCGCCTGCGCCTGGCACTTACATGACCCCTGAGGATCCCAAATACAAGGCACACCGTAACTCGGTCAACCTCCAGCATCCCCAGCCACGCCAAGGACAGACCGAGAGATTCAAGGCAGCATTGGAGAGCCAAGCCTACGAGTACGACACGCCGATGTCGCCCAACACTGCCGACTGGGCCGGTTCGGCTACCAGTTTGAACCGCTTCCCGGCGAATGCCAACAACCGCTACAGCAATTCCGGCGCTGGCACCGGCGAGTACTGGAACTCGTCCCCTGCAGGTCCTCCTCGGCCCCCTAAGGAGCCCATTGATGACAGGGCCACAACCCCTTCAAGGGCCACAACTCCCTCCAGGGCTACTACGCCTTCCAAGGCCCGCATCTCTAAGCTGGCATCGAAGACCAGTCCTCTCCCCTACAACAGCGTTGAGAGCGGCTATGGCACCGGGCCGGGCACCCAGCCCAGCAACTACACCGACAGCCCCAAGCTGGAGAACCGTAACCTCAACGCCGCTCTTGGCATGCCAACTCGCAGGCCCAGTGGACCCCGGGCCATGACCCCCAAGAGTGCGGAGGAGGAAGCCGCCAGGGAAGAGCGACGTCGCAAGAGAGGTAAGCAGACTGTTACGCATGTTGACCAGAGCTTGTTCTAACATTTCACAGACACTTTTGGCACTGTCGCAAGCAACGAGACCGACACGTTTTAGAAGAAATTTTCCATCGCAACGTCTTTTTATTCGGTACAAGAGAGTGAGCACTGCCACATGAGTTGATGCTACTGGATAGCTTGAACCACATGATCAACCTATAATCATCAGACATATTGAAGCAGATCTGTGCAATCTGCTATAGAAATGGCAGGGAAGGATCTGTCAAGCGGCAACGGACCTAAAAAGGAGAAGAGTCCGGACGGAGGAAGCGGAGGAAACAGAGGGAAAAGGGTTTCGCTACTCGACCTTACGACGACATGACACGCAATTGATGGTCTTGCGTTTGAGCGATGTTTTGAGGGGAGGGAAACAGCGATATGGCCCTTCCCCCCTCAAGTCGAGGCATGAGGATTGGGTTTGAAACGCACATGATGTGAAAGTTGGTTGATACCACATATTTTTCTGGAATCCGGGGGACTGCGTGAGGTATTTCATTGGCAGTCCAAGTTCAGGTAGATACCATAAGGAGGGGACTGTAATTGTAGTCGTGGATAATGGAATTTTCACCCTGCCTTGACAACTTTTGGGCCTTTTGCATGGGAAGTGAATGCGTGATGATGTGGGTTGGCTAATGGGTCTTCTTTCCTGGATTTATCAGCCAGTCTGAATGATGTATGCAGTCGACTGACGGGTATGGCAGGCTGGGCTGGATTAGTCAAGTCCCGCGCGCGCCTGGCGTTATTTGGCGGAAGCCCGCCAGATGCAGACGCGGATGTAAATGCGGACGAAATGCTTTGGTTTTACTAATGCGAGCCGCGCGCATCCTTCGCATACATGCTAGGCGGGGGCATGGAGACGATTGACTACCTGTACCAAGTTATGGTGATTGAATCCTCAGATGCGACGATTGTCTCTCGGTTGTGGATTTCCGAGCACTGCCCTCTGTCTTGGCCGGTCGAGTTGGTGGTATATGGGGGTTTGTCAGCGTGGCTGACTCTCTTTTACCTTGCCCCACGCCCAGATCCGATTTGGTCTTTGGGTGAGGAGAAAGTTAGCAGCACAACGGTGCTGCCTGCGGGCCTCAGCCCCAGGTAACTGCGTTATATAAGCTGCGTGGTTCAAAAAAGAGACTTTTCGAGACTAATTAACAGGGTACTTATAGTAGCTATATTACTATAAATCCCCCTATACTTAATATTACTATATTTTAGCTAATAAAGCTATTTACTATATTAAAGTTCTTAAAATATTTAATTACGCTATATCTAATATTTAATATAAAGTACTATTATTAATAGTAATTAGTATAACTTTAAGATCTTATTAAGTTTAACAGATTACTACTTTATATTATATAATACTAAAAAGAACTATATAAGTATTTAAGAAGTATATTTAAATATTTTAGTAATTATTTAAGTTATTTACTATTAAAATATTAATACTTCTCTTAAAATTAAAATAATATTTAAAAAAGTTTAGCTAGAAACTAATATAATAGTAGAGATCTAAAGTATAATTAAAGTTAACGTGGTTTACCAGTCAGCGGCGAATATCAGTCAGCGGCGAGCTTTTTCCCACCCTTGCTATAATATTAAGCATTTCTCACCTACAACACATTGAATTAACTATTCGTTTTCGCCATTTGAATCATTTGATGATTCCACATCTTTGGAA